CAACAGTGGGAGGGCTTCTAGTGTCCTGGCCCCTGATGGACCTCCTGATGGCACCTAGTATTTTTGGCCACTGTGAGACAGAGTGTTGGACTGGATGTGCCATTGGCCTGATCCAACATTGGGTTCTCTTATGTTCTTATGTTCACTGCTTCATGTGTGAGCATCTGTGAGATGGGGCATTAATCCAACCCTTTCTATTATACTCTGCCTCCTGTGGGGGGGTTGAGTCTGAGGTGGGCACACCCTCCAGCCTCCTCCTTTGTTTAGTACACCCCATATGCATCTCAACCAAGAGGAGGAGGGAGATTTACAACACTCTTAGCCCTCTCTCCCCAGCCCTTGGTCCACCCTTCTGGTCAGCCCCTAGACCTGCGGGTAAGCATAGGGAAGGCTTTGCCAGCCCCAGACACTGAAATTCAAACATGACAGAAAGGGGTAGGTTCCAGTTCTCTCAAAGCCCAACTAGCAAGCCAGAGGAAGAAATACTGCAGCCAAAAGATCCCAAATGTTCTGTCCTACTCTGCGGCTTCCACAGCTGCATGTCTGTGCACTGTGTACTGTAATTACGACTATACTTTCTGATTTGGGAAGAAACACATTTTTGGCTTTGTCTTTTGCAGCATCTGCTCTTGCCCTGGACTTCATACCTTGCAGGTCTTGAGTACTGCAAAGCTTATCACTTTTACTACCAATGTTATTCAGAAGTGCATTTAATTCTTATACTAAGACTAGCTGGAGTACATCTATGCTCCAGTTCTCTCTGTGCCACTTCAGAACCTGACACGGAGATATGGTAATACCATGACTTTAATCTAAAGAAGAGAGACTACAGGACAGTAATTCATCTATTCAAAACCAGTCAGGGGCGCATACCCAGAAATTCTCAATGCCAGTCAGTTTTTAGTATAGTTTTAATGGGTCATGTATTAATCAAAACACTGAATTTTAAACTTTCTTATTCTTGTATATTTCCATTCTGATTAGTAGGAAAATGAACCTAGCTTGAAAATTAATCCAATTTCTTCCCAATAGTATGAGATCACTGCACAGTAAATAGATAACCCCTTCACCATTTTCAGTGTTCACCATGTGGGGCCAGCCCAGCATCCTGTTTAACCCAACAGGCCTAATGGCTAAAGAGAGAAAATATTATTTTATCTTATATATTATCATACTCTAGCCAGTTTCAATAAGAATGGCTACTTCACCCCATTCTGCCCTTCAAATATTTACCAGGCTTAATCCTATTCACTTCCCTAAAAGAAATGTTGCCTCTTTCATAAAAGACATAGAAAATAATTTTTCCATCTCGCCCCCGGCCTTTCACATCTCTAGGAAGGTTGAACTGCAGGTTCACTACATCTAAGGCTATCAAAGCTAATATTGATTTCTCATTTTTAAAGCTGTACCTTCATGTCTACAGTGTGGTTAAAATAACTAAAATAGGACAACTGGGATGGAACAACAGAATCAGAGTTCTTTTAAAATGGGTATTAGTGGCAATATGTCTCTATTACAGATTTCTTCTTAGGCACCAACAGGCTTATCTGTGAAGTGGCCAGCACTTATGGCAAGCCCGTAGAGTTTTCAAGGAAAAGACATTCAGAGGTGATTTGCCATTGCCTTCCTCTGCATAGACACTCTGGACTTCCTTGGTGGTTTGGTTTCCCATCCAAATACTAACCAAGGTCAACACTACTTAGCTTCTAAGATCCAATGGGATCAGGCTAGCCTGGGCCATCCAGGTCAAGTCAATTTCTGGTACTGGAAAGTGCCCCAAAGTCACAGCTGACTTATAGCGACCCCATGGAGTCTTCAAGGCAAGTGATATTCAGAGGTGGTTTGCTCCCATCGGTCTCCCATCCACATTCTAGCTAGGGCTGACCCTGCTTGCCTCTAAGATGTGATGAGATCAGACTAGCCTGGGCAACTCCTATGTATATTATATATGTGTGTGTGTGTGTATACACACACACACACACATATATACACACACAAGATATTTTCAAGGATAAATTTGAATAACTTTTGGCAACAATTAGTATGCTAAATGTCTAATGATAATACATTATTGAAGCGTTCAGGGTTTTATCTAAATTTTAACTTGATTCAAATAGGCTGATAGTCCTATTAGCAGCTATGTGAGCCTATTTCTCTCCAAATAGTTCCAGAGGAGTAACTGTTAGCCTATTATAGCAAAATAAATAAGAAATCCAGTGGCCAATAACATTTATTCCAGAATGAGCATTCTTGAGTAACAGCTCACTTCCTCAGATGCAATGAAAGAAAGACAATCATACTGCATCTGAGAAAGTGAGTTCATGCTGGAATAAATGCTGTTAGTCTTTAAGATGCCACTGGACTTCTGCTTAGTTTTGTCCAAATGATACAATGACTTTTATTACAAAATTTGTTTTCTACCTCTCAGATGGCAAAAATTAAAATATATTAAAATAGCACAGGGTACAGTAGTTTACAGCTTTCCCTCAAGTAGTAGATACATATATTTGCAATTTTACTTGTAAAACAGACAAAATTGACTTAGAAGGGTGTTAACACTGCTTAGAATTGCATCGTAAGGCATTTATACTTTTCATGCCCCAATTTCCTCCCCTCCCCCCCAAAAAAAGCAGGAGGGGCAATGTTTTTCCAGGGCTTAAAAACTCCTAGAAAGTTCTCATCTCTAACAGTGCAATCCTATGAACACTTTCCAGGGAGTAATAAAATTGAATAGACCCATATAGGATTCTGAATAAACCTTCTGATCAACCCAAGCTCTTACTACTTGAGAGTAATATTTCAGGAAACCAGCGGACAACCTGGCCTAGAAATCTCTTTTCTGTCCTAGATGCTCATGAATGCAACAGTGACTGCAAGAGGCTCATAAAGGGGTTAAGGCTGTATTTTGGCAGCCCAAAATCTCTTGCTTAGCCAAAGGACCAACAGTTTACTCTTAAAGTTGTAAGGATAGTAGTGTTCACCTGCTCCAGAAAAAAAAATTAAATGTTCTCTAGTTCTGCAAAAGACTAATTTTTTTGTATGAAATACATTCCCATGGACTAGAAACCAACTGATAAAATGGGCTCTAGTATGGAAATACTTATATCTCAATAAATATGCTAGAGGTGCTCCAAGACTTCTTAAAGATGGGTTACGGTTAAATGGAAAAGGTAGAACATAGAATCATTCAAAGCTTAGTGCATCAATCAGACATTGCTCTGAAATCTAACCAGCAGAGTTTACTGCCTAGAAATCAGAAACCTGAGTGCAAAAGTTCAACTAGGGTTCCGGAATTACCTTGAGAAAATGTTAACTCTGCCACTACCCTGTTTACTTAGTTAAGAGCAAATGAAATTGGTCAGGGAGTTCGACTGTCTTCCACTGATAAGTAGATCTGTAGGACTTTAAGCACATATTTGGATTTTACAGCCTCTCTCAATTTTTGATGGATTAGGTGCATAAATAAGCCAAATAAAATCAAAATGAAGTAAGATTTCATCTATTTCCTTTAAATGTATCCATCCTCTTTCAATTTAGCTCTGAACCTCCATGAAAAATACAAACAAGTATGCATTCTTAAAGACACTCAGGCTGTGTAAGTCTGCAATAAGGAAGAAGTTCCATAATTGATGGACAACTCCTAAAGGTGCCTTTCTTCATGCCCTTGCTGACTGAACCCAACACGCCTGAAATATCAATAAAAGGAGCTCTTCTATCATTTTTGGAGACTGTAGTGGATTTCAAAGGTACATATCACAGAAACCAACAGGCTACATGGACTAAAGTTGCCCAATAATGGAACATGTCTATGACCACAGTCAGTGTTTACAAAATGCATACCAGTAATGTGGAATTATACCTCCCCTTGGCGTGCATACAAAGCTTGTAAAAAAGGAACACTTCAATGTACTAATGATAATATATTACTCACCTGGGCCTGTTAACACCAGTAGGATTGTATAATCTAAAGGGCCATTTCACACCACAACAAAATTGTCATACAGAAGGCATTTCTGTATAGCAACAGATATAAAAACCCCATTCATATTGTACTGTAAAACAATTGTGCATGCAACTTTTCTGTACTGCGTACACCTGGTGTCCATACATTAGAGAACCACAATCACCTTCCCCAACATGAGTATATGGAATGAAAACCACAATTCTATGACCATGTATGGAAATTTCACCGTAATTCTGTGAAGAAATTCTGTAACACAAAGTTCAATTCTAAATTTTTGAGAAGGTATTTCTTATAGAAGACACAGAATTCCTGTCTCACTTTAAATACAGAAATCAATTTGAATATTAGTGTGTAAAGAAAAGTTCCAAAGCTTTCAGCAAGTATCAATTGAACCACTTACCAAAAATTCTCCATAAGCATATACAACTTTGCCAAGTGCTACTTATATTCATTCTCCTCTCCCAAAAAGAGAAACACTAGAAAATGTGCCAGTTTCATTCATCATTGGCTGCAGACACATGCTCCTTTGAACACAAAGATGTGACTTAGTTCTAAATTTCCCTCTCTTTCAAGAAAGACGCTTAATCAGAAAACCTTTTCCATGTATGCATACATAGACTGCCTAAGTATGTATGACAGAAAATACATATACCAGGGAAATGAGATTGGCCATAGCACCACACTGCAATGAACATGAGTGAAACACACACTTTTGCTATGGTGTAACATGTGAACTGACTCTTCAACGCACTCAACTAAGCACACAAATATAGAAATAAAGAGCACAGTAGATGATCTATGACCTATGATCACCAGGAAGAAAACATAAGTCAATTTGCTAATGCGTGGGTAAAACTTTGTGTGTTTCATCATACTTCAACCGTACCATAAAAACACGAAATTTAGTATTATACACAGAATTCAACATCTCATCTCAGATTTCATTTTAAAAATGAAATAAAATTCCGTCCCTTAAATCTCACTTTGCATTCTCATTCTCCTTCCCCACCTCCATCACCAACCACCATCATCCCACCTTTTTTGAATTCCTCAAGCATAGCATCAAGCTTGGTATCGTTGAAGACAAAATGCAGTGGATGGTTATAGAAACGGGTGATGGTTTTGAGTGGAGTGCAGTCATCAGGATCCACAAAGGCCAAGTCCTTGACAAAAAGAAGGTCCACAATGTTGGAGCGGTCCCCTTCAAAGACTGGGATGCGAGTATAACCACTCTCCATAATCTCAGACATAGTGTTGAAATCAAGCACAGCTTCAGCAGTAATCATAAAACAGTCCCGGAGCGGGGTCATTACATCCTCCACTGTCTTTGTGCGCAATTCCAAAGCACCTTGGATGATGTTCAGCTCCTCCTTCACCAGGTCATTGTAAGGGTCAGTGACTCTCAACATCTCAAGCAGTTTTTCGCGATTGTATACAGTACCAATTTCCTGCCCTAAGACACAGTCCAGCAGCTTACTGACTGGGTAAGAGGCTGGGAAGGTCATCATCATGAAGAATTTGGTGAGGAAGATGGTATTGGCACCTACAGCAAGGCCATGCCGGGAACAGATAGCCTGTGGTACGATCTCACCAAAAATGACAATACCAATTGTGGAGACCACTACGGCCACCAGCCCAGAACCAGCGATATCATCAAGCAAGATGGTAAGGGTGGTGTTGACCAACACATTACCCAACAGCAAGGAACACAGCAAATAATTGCCCTGGCGGCGCACAGGTTCAATGCGCTTAGCATAGTTCTTTTCTTTTTCTGTGCCACAGTTCTGCACAATACGTAACTCCATGGGGTCGAGGGCCATAAGCCCCAGGTTGAGGCCACTAAACATGCCTGAGAGACCCAACAAGAGAGAGATGAAGATCACTTGCAGCCAAAAAGGCAACAGGAACTTCTTTTCTTCACCTACTATCATCTTGGTATCCTCACCGTCATGGTAGATCCAGGTGGTCTCAGTCCAAGGTCCCCCATCAGGGCCAATAATACCCCCTCCACCGCTGCTGCCTCCGGCGGAGTTCCCCGCCCCCCCGAGGATCGCTGGGGAGGACACGGAGGTGCACAAGTAGTAGGATTTGCTCTTCTCTGTTTTACGCAAAGGCTTGATATCGATCTCAATGATGCCCGAGGTGCGACGGTTGAGTACGATGTGAGGCAGGATGATGATGTCCGAGGTGCGGATGCCGCAGCGCTGCGGAGCCGGGGAGAGGGAGCCGAGGAGAGCCGGGCCGTCTTCTTGTTCCGCCGGCGGCCGCCTGCTTTCTCTGTCCCGCCGCCTCTCGTGTTCAGTAAAGGCGATGCGGGACCATGTCTCATTATTGATATTTTGCCCGTACACACGCAGCTTGACACGGGTCCTCTCGCTCACACGCAGCGCTCCCCCTTCCATGAACGACACGTCGTCCGTGTCCTCCAACCGCAGTCCGATGATCACCGTCTCTTCAGAGTCAGGCGCGCCGGGCAACAAGGCAGCAGCGGCGGCGGCGGCAGCGGCGACCGCAAGAGGACCCGCGTCTCTCGGTCGCCGCCCCCCGCCGGCCCGGCCATGAGCCAGGCAACAGCCGCGGGCACCGGCGCAGCCATATTCCTGTCAGGGGAGATCACTACGGCCACTCATAGCGGAGCAGCTTCATCGTTATGGCCACAAACAACGGCCACAGCCAGCTCCGAGCACCTCAAGGGATGACAGACGACTGCCGGGTCTCGGCCAGGAGCAGCTCCAACCCCTACCCCTGAGGGGAGGGGGGAGGGGGAAAACTGAGCCCGCGCGCGCACTCCGACCAATCAGGTGGATACAAGCGGGGCAGCGGGAGAGGGGGGAGAAGAAAGAAAAAAGCCTCTGCCCAATCAGAGAGCGCGCACGAGTAAGGGGAGGGGGGAACCAGCCGGCCGGTTGCCCTCCTCGCGTAATGCTAAGAGTGTGGACCCAGAGTGGCAGGGAACGCTGCGCAGGCGGGGCGACAAAGCAAAGTTGGTACTGAGGGGTGTGTGGCGGGGGTGCGAAAGAAGCAAAGGCGAGTCTCCACAGGTCCACTGTCCAGCTTGTTCGCTGGCCAATCAGAGCGCAGCCGCGTTTAGGGCACCGTGTGGGAAAAGGAGTCGAACGACCAGCCGGCTCGAGCCCAACACTTCAGGCAGGAGCCGAGCAATAGGCTACAACCCCGCCCCCTTCCCGGACGCGTTTCCCTGGTGGCAAAGGGGAATCGGCGGCGCGACTATGAACCCTTTCACACGCACACACCCTCCAAGTTCCCCCAAATTAAAGAGCGCGTGACTGGTGCGTCTGTTCGAGCGCAAACCGGTCTAAAGACAGAGCCAATGGGAAGGGAGAAGGGCGTACATTGGTGAAGGGAGCAACCAATAGGAAGCAAGAGCTCTGTGCGGTTCCGGGTTCGTCTTGACGGGCTGCCCGACGACCTAGGAGAGTCGAGGGCGCGTGGTGGTCAGATTCTCCCACCCGCTCCTTCACATTATGAATAGCAAAAGAGTCTTGTCACAACTTAAAAGACTTACGAAATTTTTGTGGCATGATGTTTAGTGACCCCCAGGCTACTTCGTCTAAGTCAAGTCAATAAAGATGAGCCCATTGGCTCTGATGCCTACAAATATGCTGTTTTAGATGTACCTGAACATGAAACATCCCAAGTATAAATTCTGTCAGAACAGTTGCATTAAAGACCTAACAGAACACAAGTCACATATCCTGTGGTTACTGCTCTGTATCCTCTTTAATAAGAGTGTAATAAGAGCAGGTTTCATTTTGTAGAAAAAGGTGCAGGAGCTCATTAGCATAACTCATTTGCATATGCCACACCCCTGACATCACCGGAAGTGTGTCAGAAGGCAACAGCTAAGGCTCTACTGGACTGTTTTGGATTGCTAGCTATTGGGGGGGGGGGGCGACATGCAGATCTGTCCTTACAGAGGAGGGAGAGCTTGTACCTGAATAAAACTTGGTCTTAAAGGTGCCTCTGGACTGGTTTTTTTTTTGGGGGGGGGCTCTGCAGCTTACCTGGCTGCTTCTTGCTCTGACTGAGGGCTGCTGGGAGCAGGGGGTGGAGCTTGTTGCATGTGCCCACCCCCTGGGCTCTTTACTGCCAGAGCTGCGCTCCTGTGCACTCCTGCAGGAAATGACCCCGGAATAAGAGGACATACGCTTTGTATATTTGAAAACAGATGCTGGTATTCTCTGCAATGGAAAAACAATTTCTAACTGCTAGGGTTGCCATTCCCCAGTTGGGGGCGGGGGATTCCCTAACTGGCTGCCAGGAGGAAGTCCCCCCCCCCCCGAAAAACAGTGACGTTGCTGGAAATAAATGCAACGTGCCTATGTCACCTGGAAGTGATGTAGGCATGTCGGTGACATCAGGAGGAAGACACTCTAGTTTTTGGGTAAAACTATATGGCTTGAGGCTGATTTTACCATAAGAGTTTTGCCCAAAAGCCAGACTGTCGTCCCCAATGTCACCGACATGCCCATGTCACCTCCGGGTGACACATGCAAATCACGCAACAATGCTTCCGGCTCCCAAAATGTACTCCATCCCCCACCAACTTTTCCGATGGACCTCACAAACCTAGTACCTGCCTTGAAGCATTTTGTAAAACGTGCCAGCATTTTTTAAATCCAAAGAGCTCCAATCTGAGCACAAGTAGGAATCTGTGGAAAGCTTGCGAGGCTCTAATGTGATACTGAGTAGGAAAGCAGTGCTTCCCACAAATACATGTGGATAAGCCTTTACAGCCACAGCTGATTTAGGCTGTTCCCAGGTAATTAACAGTAATAGAACTTCGGACTTTTGCAAAAACAAAATGTCATGAAAATATATCACTTCTCATTCAGTGTCATTCTGCAAATTTGATCAGTTCTGCGAGGTAACAGGCCCACTCCAGTGATTAAGTGTCTCAGCTTCAGTGACAAAGTGTCTGGAACAAGGGAATAAACAGGCAAATTTTTAGCAGATGTGTGAGGAGAGGGTAAATGGCATTTTTAATATATACATATAATATATAAGTTTCAATATAAAATTCCATCAAGACAAGCTAAGTGAAAACAGTTAAAATAGTAAGGAGGGCAAACAGTTAAAAATACCTTTAGGTACCAACAGTGTGTAACTTCTCAGTGTTGTAGTTGCTCAAACCACTCAGGTGTAGCTAACTTGAGTTCAAATTTTAGTTCTGTGCCAATTTTCTGGTCTAGTTCTAAAATTCAGTTCGGTTGTAGCTGCCCAAACTACTAGAGCCAGTTTGGTGTAGGAGTACGGACTCTAATCTGGGAGAACTGGGTTTGATTCCCCACTCCTCCACATGCAGCTGCTGGCGTGACCTTGGGTTAGTCACAGTTCTCTCAGAGCTGTTCTCAAAAGTGAAGTTCTCGAAAGAGCTCTCTCAGCCAGACCTACCTCACAGCATGTCTGTTGTGGGGAGAGGAAGGGAAAGAAATTGTAAGGTGCTCTGGGACTCCTTCGGGTAGTGAAGGTATAAATCCAATCTCTTCTTCTTCTCTTCAAGTGCAGCTAATTTTAGTTCTAAACAGGCTCAGAGGTTCTTGGCTAGTTTAACTACAGTACAGGAAGGGTTAAACAGAGGGTCAAACAAAGGACAAGGATCAAAACGGAGGGTACAGGGATAGTTTAAACTCCAATATCACTTTGAAATTTATAAGCCTATAGATTAATAATACCAGAAACTAGGGATAGTGAGTTCACAGATAAGACTAAACCTTAGGCAGGTTTTTGTAACAGAAAAAGGAAAACAAATAACAAAATAAACTGCAGATAGTGTTTAAATACAGCTAGAGCTTAAAAAAACCAAACAGGGGGTCCAATTTTAAACTAATCTAAAATTTTAAGCTAATTCTTACATTCTTTAAGGTTGAGGGGGTCCCTATAAAAAAAACAAGCAGTTACATACTTCCTGTAACTGCTGAGGCTATTCAACTAGAGTCCCCTTTAATCCAAGCCTAGAAGGGCTAAATTCACATTTGAAATTAAATTAGCATTTGAAGTAAAAGGCAGCCTGAGGAGGTCTGAGCATCTCCCTTGCAACAAGACCTATTGTTAATCAACCAGAGGCTGACTCACTCATCCTCTTTTACTGGTTAGCTCCTAGTCAGTGTGACTGGCTCCAATGAGAGGTGGAGTTTTGGCCCAAGCTATTTTATTTAGGGTTCCTATGAGCAGGCCCCAGCTCTGTGTGGTAGCAGGCCCCGCTCCAGTGCTAAAGTGTCTAGAATGACGGACTGAAATTGAATTTAAAACAAATCAGCCAGTATCATAATGCTCCTGTATAAATCGATGGTGTGGCCTCATTTGGAATACTTGTCACCGCACCTCAAAAAAGATGTTATAGTAGGGGTGTTGAACTCATTTGTTATGAGGGCCGGATCCTACATAAATGAGACCTTGTTAGGCCGGGCCATGTGTGTCAAAAAATGTAATGCCATATAGCAGAGATATAAACTTTATAAAGGAAACAAACACAAAGGTATTTTTTTACTTAAAATAAAAAGATGCTTAAAACATTAGCACTCTTGCAATATTTTGTTTATTTAACAGTGTCTGATAACTGACACCTCTTGCTCTGAATTATTGCATCAAAATGTCTGTGCTGTTGCAATCCTGAGTATGCTGTTGAGCTATGTATCTGTAAGCTGCAAACCTACAATCATGCAGCAGCAGCAGAACTGGAAGAAGAAGCAAAAGACAGCCAGTTCTACTGTGAGCCTGATAGAAGCCCTCCGGGGGCCTGATCCGGCCCTCGGGCCACATGTTTGACACCCCTGTGTTATAGTATTGTGGGGAAAGTGCAGTAAAGGACAACTTAAATGATGAAGGGGATGGAACACTTTCCCTGTGAGGAAATGTTATAAGAACTCGTGGGTGCTTAATGAAATTAATGAGCAGTAGGTTTAGAACAGAAAAAAAGGAAGTTCTTCTTCACCCAAAGAGTAACTAACACATGGAATTCACTGCCATGGGAAGTAGTGGCGGCTACAAGCATAAATAGCTTCAATAGGGGATTAGATAAGCATACGGAGGAGAGGCCCATCAGTGGCTATTAGCCACAAGGCATAGATGGAACACTATGTCTGGGACAGTGATGCTCTGTATTCTTAGTGCTTGGGAGGCAACAGCCGGAGGGCTTCTGGAGTTCTGGCCCCACTGGTGGACCTCCTGATGGCACCTGGGTTTTGGCCACTGTTGCAGATTTTACGAATAAGAATGCCCCATACCTTTTATCTGTTCAGTCTACTTACAATCCTATTTGGTAAGGCCTGTAATTTATCCAAAAGCTCTAGATAAAGCATTGCAGATGTTTTTAATCTCTACAAATTAATACAATTTTAATTCAAGTCTCATTTTGTGGAATCAAAACACAAAAAAATAGGGCAAGAATCAGCTGCTTCTAACGTAAGCTAAATGAGAAAGAATATTTCAAACAAATATTTGAAGCTTTGGTGCATGAAGGATCCTGTTTTGAATTAACTAATTTCATGTTACGTCTGCAATCCTAAACATGTGTACAAGGCATTTCAAATCCTAATGAAATGAGTGGTACCTATTTCCAAAAATATGTTTGCGCTCTAAATATTGAAGTATGCTGACACTGATAGGGTATTTCCTTGTATAACGGACTTTTTTGTGAAACACTGGTATTCCTTTGCATAGGATAGTTCTGAGTAAATATTCATATTATTAAGCCATGGTTCATAAATTTAAAGCATGCATTGACCTTGAAAATATGCTCCTGAAAATTATACTTATAGCAAGGCCCAGCAGTTGTCAGCTATTAGGCCAAATACATCTTCTTGAAGGGAATCATTCCCCTGCCCCCACTGTTAACCCAGAGGCAAAAGGGATGTATAGAGTCAGTAGACCTATGGACTTGCCAGCGGCTCACTTTGGGAGTGACAGTAGTTCTTCAGTAAAAACTAATTTCTGACCAGGCACCTATATAACTGTGATGATTAGATAGTAATAAACAAAACTCTAATCTTTGTAATAGATTGGTTTGTTTACACCACAGCAGTCTGAACGCATAATACATAATAAAGTAGCCTCAGTTATTTCCTTACGCTACAACAATCTTATGTAACAAACCAGGCCTTTTAACCCAATCACCTTTGGATTTTTCTGTGTAGAAAATCTTGCTTACTGAGGATCTGGTGCATCTATTGTAGTAGGCTCGTATAACAATAAATAAATAATGCTACAGTAAATGTTTTTAGGTACAGAAATTTTTAAACTTTTGCTATAACTAATATATATGTATAAAGTAAACATGTCTTGGGTCTCACAGTGATATCAATATTGTTGGAGTCTGTCCATGAAAACTAGAGACCAGACCTTTCCTAAAAGCGTAGCCCAAGACATTCTGGTGATTTTAAAAAGTGAGAATTGTACATTTATACATAATTTCCTCTGTTACGGAGAACATGATCCTAAAAGTACAAGGTACTTCCATATCACTTTTAAAAAACTGAAATTAGGTACACACATAGGCTCAAGACATCCTGTTTACTCGAAAACTCTGAAAGTGGACACCTCTTTTCTCAAAGGGGCACAGTGAGGGCTTTGTTTAGAGGGTCAGACTAGGACTGGGGATGACCAGGTTTGATTCCTTCACTCTGCCATGGAAGCCTGCTGGGTGACCTTGCACCTTCCACAATCTCTCAGCCTAACCTTTCCTCACAAAGTTGTTGTTGTGAGGATTAAGTGGAGGAGGGGGAACAATGCAAAATGTTGCTTTGGGCTCCCATGCAGGGAGAAAAGTGGGATATAAATAATTTTATAAGGTACTCAGCACTTGTTGTTGTTGTTCAGTCGCACAGTCGAGTCCGACTCTTTGCGACCCCATGGACCAGCTCCCGCCAGGCCCTCCGGTCCTCTGCGGCCCTCCGAAGCCTGCTCAACTTCATGTTCGTTGCATCGGTGACACTGTCCAACCATCTCATCCTTTGCCGGCCCCGTCTTCTTTGACCTTCAATCTTTCCCAGCATCAGGGTCTTCTCCAGTGAGTGCTCCCTTCTCATTTGGTGGCCAAAGTATTTGAGCTTCAGTTTCATTATCTGGCCTTCCAGGGAACAGTCAGGGTTGATTTCTTTTAGGATTGACTGATTTGTTCTTCTTGCAGTCCAAGGGACTCTCAAGAGTCTTCTCCAGCACCATAGTTCAAAAGAATCTATTCTTCGGCGCTCGGCCTTCCTTATAGTCCAACTCTCGCAGCCATACATGACTACTGGGAATACCATTGCTTTGACCATGCGGACTTTTGTTGGCAGGGTGATGTCTCTACTTTTTATCATGCTGTTTAGGTTCGCCATCACTTTCCCCCCAAGGAGCAGGCGTCTTTTAATTTCATGACTGCTGTCACAGTCTGCGGTGATCTGGGATCCCAGGAACGTGAACTCAGCACTAGCTAGGAATAAACATACATTTTGGAGGTACGAAGTCAAAGTCATGCTGATTATTA